TAATGCATTGTCAAACTGATAAAATAATTTTGAGAATTCAAAATTATCAGAATAAATTAAAAAATTAACTACTATCTTCTTTCAAATCTGTTTGAGTTTGCTGATATGTAGCATAGTCTCACCAGAGTCAATACTGTCAGTAAGATCCCACTGGATTTGTTCTTATGGAGACATATTAATTAAAAACCAGATTAAAACACTGCAGGTTTCATTTCATTAAGCTACAGAAAAGCTAGTGAAATATTTCTGAGAATTACTGCACATTCCTTATTTGTACAATAGAAGTAAAGTATTCCAGCAGATCCCATTAACAAACACCAAACAAAAAGCACCATTGGTTTATGTATTTGGCTAGACCCACTTATGCTGTTTCTCAGCATAAGACAATGGTATCTAGAGAAATATAAGTACACAATAAAATGATCTCTTCACCCAGTTGTCCTAACACAGCCATTGTGTGACTGAGTTGGCCATGTCTTCTATCATGAGACAAGTTTTCCAAATACATTCCAAATGCAAGATTTAAGAAAAATGTGGGACTAAAAAAAGCCCAAGGAAGGGCAAAATACATTTTAAAAGAAATAACTGGACTTTCTAGACTTTGCTTCATATTCATTAAAGGAAATGGATGAGCAAAACATCTGTGCTTATACAAATCCTCTAAGATAAATCTATTTGAGAGAGAAGACTTTTTAAAGCTTCTCTAGGAAAATATGGAATATTTTACTGAAAGTTCTTCACCTCTATAATTTGGTTATGAAAAGTGGAGTTCTCTTACCCATATGAATCAATCATCTCTAAATTCAGAAGCCTAAAAGCACTGTTTCTTCATATATATCAACACACCTAAGCTAATGTTTAAAGAGTAAAAGATTTTTTTACTTGGATCAAGAGAAAATTTTTAGCCAAGGCTATTAATCTCAAATTCCCAGATACTAAGCTGAGCATTTTTCTGTTAAACAAACTATTAAAAAGTGCAGTTTCATGATTCTATGAGAGGGAATGGTTCGGATCAACATTTTTTTCAATTTTCCCATGAGGAAAATAAAATTATATATACCATTCAAGTAGAATTATCCCAGCTTGAAATACTGCAATACAATATTGCAAAATACTCTTTTTGAGTCAATGGAACATTTTGTTTAAGCTACCAATAGAGCTAGTGTCCCACAGAAGCTCTCTGAAGTGTGCATCACCAGCTTGTTCTCACTCTCAGCTGATGTCTGTTGGCACTTAGACCATTTGTATGATGCCAAAGAGTGCTGCCACTTGTGAGAGACCAGCACATGCTTCACAGATATTTAAGGGTTCTTTTCGTGCTCTGGTTCTCATGGTTGCTTTTTAATCCGGTTTAAATCTTTAAGCATAGAGCAACAAGGAGTCCTGTGGGACTTGGTAAGATGAATGTCTGGATGTTACCACACCAAGTGGCAGGTGACTGGCAGAAATTCCAGTATATATGTGTACAGTTACAGGCACAATGCCCAAAGTATTGCAAATCCAAAGCAAAGGCCAAATTTTCCAAACTCTAACTGTGCATATCATTATCTATTTTAAAAACACCTCCTTCTCCAAAGAACTTGTACTCCCTGACCAGTGTTCTCTGAAGCTGTCCTTGACATGGAATATTCTATGCAACATCTCACCCCTTCCAAGGACATGGTCATACATAATGAAGAAGGGCTTTAATTAAGATTTCCACCTTCGCGACAAACCAGCCAGGGACCAGCTGCGCCACTGTTGGCTTTTCATGATCTTTGCTGTGAGGAAGACATGCCAGACATGTAAAATTTTGCCAAAGTAGAAAAGAGAGGCTTTAGGGAATTGGAGTGCATCCTGCATTTCTGAAATATATTTCTTGCTCATTCTGTACAAAAAAAAACTTTGTAGAATTTGCTGACAATGGTTTTTCTCACATGGGCTATTTCAAAATTCTAGTGAGTTTATTTTTTCCTCCTTCTGTTTTTTTTGTTACCTTATCTCTTCCTCAGCCCATTTTCCTGCATTCCTTGGGGCTCTTTTTGACAAGAAAAGAAATCTTGTAAACTGAGAAACCTGACAGCCATCCACAAACTTGTATCACTTACCATAAATCAACAGATCACCTATTATGGATCACAAAAGCAAAGAATAAAAAATAAAAACCTTTTAACAATTACTTGGTCCTGAAATTGATAAGCAAAAATATGAAACAGGCTATAGACACCACCTAAAAATTGCAAAAGCACATTGCATTGTAACCTCAGTTAAATTGCTTCTTCAAAGGTAAGGAAAAAATGCAGGGGCACGTATCAGGGTACAGCTCCTGTTTGGGGACGGATCTGCAACTTAGTAACAGAATGCAGCAACAAGATCCCAAACAGGAAAAGAGAAGCTCCATATTATTGTGTCTTTAATTTACTTTCAAATCAAAATTATTAGCCCTAAGTTCAAGATGACAGCTGATACAGCTGCATTATCAGAATCAAACTTTCTGACCAAAAGCAACAGGAAACCACACAGCAGAAAACCTGAGTCCCTAAACTTGCACCTGCACTTTTGTCCTTATGATCACCCAAAAATACTGGCAGTGTGCAGCAGAGCTCATATGCATGAACATAATGAGAAAGCACATGGACTGTCAAAGAGTTCTTTTCAAGCACAGCACATTTTAGCATGGATGTCTTGCAGGTGCACTTCACAAGATTAAAGTGTAAACATATGCAAGCATTTAATATCACACTTCATAAAGAAACTGTTTATACTGATAAAGTTAATCCTGCTTGCAAATGTCTGACGATCACAAGAACAGCCATATTTTGTTTCAGAAAGGTCCATGGTTCAAAAATATTATTAAGAAACCAGGAGAGTACAGAATAGCATGTATTTCCAGAAGGATATTATATCTGAAAGCAGAGGTAGGAATTACATCTGAAAACTGCATTTTCTTTAAAATTCACAAAATCAAACTTATTCAGCACAAAGTAATCAAATCCCATTTGAGCCTGTTCACATTTCATATCTCCACCACACCCTCTGACAGGGAATTCCATAATTTAATTAACCATTTATGAAACAAATATTTCCTTTTGTTGGTTTTAAAACTGTTGAATTATTATTTTATTCAATACACCTTCATCCTTACATTATAAGAACTAATAAAAAATACTACCTTTCCTACACCATTTGTCACTTATTAGACCTTTACCACAACCCTAGTCCTCTCTTTCAGAAGGAGGAAGTATATAATGATTTAATTGTTCCTCAACAAGAAACCCTTCCCCATCTTTACTGTTCTTGTTATTTGTAGCTCTTCTAGTTCCTTTGAGGACTTTTACCACTCTTGTCTAAATATTCAAGATAAAAATGCAACCTAGATTTCAAAAGGATTATACTCATTATTTTATCTTATTTTTTCCCTGGGTGTTTTGTAGAACTGTATTTTCCTCCTTAAATGTTGGGGAGGTGACAACTTTATTGAACTAATCACAACAATGCCAATATCTCCCTCCTGAATAGTAACTACTAAATCAAAATGCATATTTAAATACATTAGTTCCTTTGCATTTACCACAATTGAATTTCAGCTGCCGTTGAGCTTCATAAAAAACATGTTTTCCTTCTTTAGAGTCAGCTTTAGATTTGAGCATTAAAAAAAATTTAATCAAGCAACAAACAGCCTGTACCTCATAACTAATCAGCCCTTTCCAAGATTATTTACAAGCACACTGAATAGGACCAGTATGTGAGAAGCTAGATTTAAAATCCTCCCTCTGAAATTCAGTGAAGGTACAAAGCTTGGTTTGATGTGTTTTGACTTGGATGGCAAATCTTTCACGTTTTCCAGAGATTTTATTCCGCATAGGATTTTAAATGTTAAGCTAGCAAAACATGGGAAATGGTTGCAGAACAACTCACTTGAGCAGAATCAATTTTGATTTTAACTGTTCATGATATATTACTAATTCTGGGAATTTTTACATATCTCAGTAAATATTGAATTTTTACTAGTTATTAGTAATTTCTTTCTTTTTTTTTAACGAAAGAAAAGCAATTTATTGAAGAAATTAGCCCAGAAGTGAAAAAGTTTCCTAGAAAAATCATATAGCCTAATTATAGCAATTAAACCACTGACATACCACAACAACTCAAATTATAGATTTTGAATATCCAAAACACGCACCGAGTAGATGTCACAAATTCTCTGTCCCTATGTTTGGAAAAGGAGTTGATTTTTTTTAAAGTTCATCATAAAATATTTAACTATTCTTCAAATCAAAGGTATGCATTGTTGACTATATTATCTGTGTCTGTAATCAATCTGACCAACTTCAATCACCACTCAGTTCTTTGGCTGCTTGTGTAACCCACTCAGTGGAAGAAAATTTCTTCAAATACAGAACTATAACTGTTATAAATATACTAGTTTGGGAGAGAATAATGAAAAAGAGATGTTTAAAAGAAGAGATCTGCATTTCCAGACACAGTTTTCAAAGTGGTATCCTTCTGGTCAGTCTCTGTGCACTGTAACAGACTATAATAACTGGCAGTCACCTCATAAAGGTTAAACTTGAGATAATATTTTCCTTTTCAGAAACAACTGGGGATAATCATATGCTGCTCCCAAAAATATGAAACTTTCTGATGATGCAAGTAACAATCAGAAGTGGCCATTTCTAAGCCTGTGCCCACTTAAGAATCCTGTCTTGACAGCAAGTCCTACTCAGAACAAATGTACTTTATTGTTAATAGTAATTAATTCTCATCTTACACTCCCATTATATTGTCTCTGCAGTAGTTACGTAGGCTTGCTCGATGCCCTAATTTTTCCTCACTCACAGCCATTTAAAATAAGCTTTTTGAAACCTGTGAGCTTGCTGAGCTGAGGAATTCTTTTTCTTCTGAATATGTGTGCTTGTCTGGCATTTCTATCCAAGCTTCTACAGCTCTGCTTAAGAGTTAAAAAGTGTAATAAAATTGAAATATGTTAATATAAAAATGAAGAATGGGATTTGTCTTACCATATTAAGAAGATTAAGCAATGGCTAGATAGTTCTGGACCATCTAGGGTTTAACTTCTACTTGTCAAAGCTGCTTCCTCATCTCTATAAAGACAGTAGATTATAGCCCTTTTCCAAGGTCAGACTACGCTGTCTCTGCAAGTAAAAAACATGAAAGAGATTTATTAGGCAGCAATATATACGTATGCATTTTATCTTTCTGCAGTCTAAACACCTAGAAGATGCTTGAAGCAGAGTTTAAGAGGAATTCAAATGAATTATAAATGATGATAAAGTCCAAATTGATTCAAAACTGATGGGGTTGCATCATTTAACATTGTCAGTAATGCTGAGTGCCATTTTTAAACATTACCTTTTTTTTTGTTTGAACATGTGTCATACAACATCTGTTAGCAAGATATGGGTGTACATCAGAATAGTTTTCAATTGGAAGATCATCATAAGCATGCCTGATATTGCAATGAGCTTTTAAAGCTGTAATCAGTTCATAAGAAGTAGCCAAAGTATGAACAACCATCTCCACAGCTCTTAATGGCCAGATACATGGTGTGTATTCCTACACATGTGTATACACACACACATCTCTCTCCGTAGATAAGTGACCAAACGATAAAAGAGAAAAGTAAAAGTAAGGGGTTTTTTTTCAGAGTACTTTAGAGGAAGATAATGGTTGACAGCTACACCAAGAATATAGAAAACAAAGTAATTCAATGGTATATAGCCCTGTTAAACAGATCACTGGCAAAATACCAAACCAGGGACATTCCCAAGGATAGGACACTTAACGGTACATCCATAGGCATTAATAATAACAATGCAACATCACTGTCACTATTGTCACTCACACCATTTCTCCTATGATATCCCAAAGGCAAGGTCCAAGTTACAATGTCCATACTGCTTTGTGCCACACATCATCTTTCATACAACTGGAGCACTAAAACTTTCTGCAAACAGAAATTGTGTCTGAAATGTTAGTATTGACCAATGCACTCTTGCCCATTTATTAAAAGAGAACAAATCTTTTTAGGCAAAGAATTAAAAAGCTTTGCAGATAAAGAACACAGACAGAAAAATCTGTTCCTCAGTCTTTGAGATCTTTCTTGTTACAAAAATAAAATATTCAAAGCTTTAAGAAACATTTTGGAGGCACACTTCCCACAATGGTGTCTGTTTTCTTCTTTACTTGCAAGCACTCAGAGCTAGATTTGGAAAAAAAGGGGGAAAAGCACCAAACCCACTCAGCAGATGACATAAAAACTGTCCCCATGAATAAAATGAATCAAACATGTAAGATTGTTTTCAGATAAACCCAAGCAGCCTGTGTTTATTATGAAAGTGTCACAGTTACACAATTAAGAGTTAAGCTATAATTTATCATGCACTTGGTATTCTAAAAATCAACCTAGACAGCAGGTTCCGATACCAAAAGTTGTCTTCTCCCTCTCAATTGGCCTGTGCTTGGCTCTGGTGGGCACCAACACTCCTCCAGCCCTGTGCTCACAGCTCTCTGCAACCCAACACTGCAGGAGCAGGTCACAAGCATTGTTCACTCCTGCACTGCAAGTGCAAGATTATAACTCTGAAAGTCCACAGTCCTTATTTTTTCCAGACTTTGGTTTATTTTTCTGGAGGTTCTCAAAAAAACTACTGAGGATTTTTATGTAATAAAAGCAGAAAAAGCCAAAAATTACAACTTTCCCTAATTCTCAATCCTGAAAATTCTTCCCTAGCTGTATTTGAAACACTAACCTTAAGGAGGTACTCAGGCATGTACCTGTAAGCAACTGTTTGATATTTACAGATCAAGGAACTCAGGAGGTCCGAATTTATAGAGATATTCTTGCGGCAGTACTGATGCAGCTAGAATGAAAACCCTACCTGTCCATTAAATTTGCCCCTAATAGAAGTAGACCTATTCTAATAGGCTGCAGAAAATTGGGAGCATCTTGGGAAGATGAGATTCCTCTGATGAATGTCACAATACAATGCTGTACATAGTGGAGGAAATTGTTTAAAGTGCTTTCTATCTATTTGTAATTTCTTGCTCTTTCCGTGGTGGGATGCAGTTTTGCCTATCATGCTTTGCTTGAGATCTGTGTTCACCCTAGCTCAGAATACTTCCACAATGTGTCATTTCGGATGATGTACTCATCATACCGTAAAGATCCTTGGAATCAAATTCCCATGAAAAATGTCATCCAAACCCCTGTGTATTGTTTAGGTTGACACAGGCTATTTAAATGGTAATAGTTGCAAATGTTCGCATATGGTATTTCTCCTGAATATGCTATCTCAAGCTGAAGGTTAAACAAAAAAATCCTAAACATCTTTAAATTGGATTAACCAATACGATCAAAGCTTGATGGTATCATAAACATCACTATATCTGCAGAATGGGACTTGAAATCTCTAAATAAAGCCAGGTGCACACCTTTTTCTACTTAGGGATCTTAAACGTTGTTTGAACTTCAGGTTTAGTCTGGTAAAAATGAATAAAGGATTGATTAGCCTGAAAAAAAAAACAAGGAAAAATTACAGGTTTAGGTAGACCTTAGAAAGAATATTGTTGAAACTAACTGCATCTACCAACCTAATCTAACACATTTTATATAATTTAGCCCTTAAAAAACAGATTTTGGCACAAAAGAGTATACCATTAAGAATATACTAAACTGAAAGCTCTTAACTTTTCCTGTTGATACTGGATTAAAAAAAATCCCATTATTTTTCTCTATAACTTATTTGCAAACAGATCTAGACCCTTCACATATGCACTAAAAAAAAAAAAAAAAATTGAAAGGAAGGCTACGTAGTAAACCTTTCACTGAACTCCCCTCACGTTGACATCTCAATGAAATGAGAACACCTCAAAAGACAGCAGAATCATTGATAGATTATGATCCACCACACTGGAAAACTGGTTTACCTACAGTGAATCAAAGGAAAAGTTCACCTACCGAAAAACGGCTACCTGCAGCAATCATACATTTTAGTGATTCTGTCCCATACACACAGAAAGGCCAGCTGTATTTACTTTCCTTAATTCATGTACTTAATATATGTGGAATGTATTTTTATAGGCCTCACATGCAAAGCCTCATTAAGAAAGAGACATGTACATAAACAGAAGTCTAAGGAACACAGAGTCAAGAGGCAAAGAGATTATCAAAAGCAAACAGTTAGCCAGGGGCCTTACTTGAATTCTTGAAAGCCATCAGCCTTGAAAGCCAACATTTGCCTTGCCAAAAGAAACGTCATCAGATGGCCTTCCATTTATAAAAAAATAAAAAATAAATTGGAGATTAAAACTTGTCTTTTTTTTTGTAGTTCCATACTACAGTATGGAACCCATCAGTATTTCTGATCTCATTCATGACATAGTACAATATATAAATGTAACATGATAAGCTTTAAAACTGCTGACTTAAAATTCAAAATCCATTTTACACTTTTGAGTCAAATGACTTTGGAAGAAGAGTGTGTTTGCTGGGCGAATTTCAATGACTTTTTCCAATTTTAATACAACTGCATTACAATTACCATATTTGCAAAACAAAGAGCACAAAGCAGAAAAGCATGAAAAGAAATGGATGATGACATTTGCATTTGCACAGTACATTCAGTGTAAGTTTGATTCTTTTCCTACTCAGCATCACAAATGTATTTTGAAACCTCAATGTAGTAAGCATTATGCGTTTATTTGAGGAGTTTCATTTGCATTTAATTTGCCTTCAATGGTTGAATAGGATATTAATTCTGGAGGCTTGTAATCATTTCTTATGAAATAATACTATGATCTAGACGTGAGAGATCTCCATATTTTTAGAACATTTTTCACAAAAAACCTATCCTGCTTTTATTACATGCCTGAAAGTAGAAATTCTTAGGACAAAGTAATTTCATTTTTTAAAAAACATGCTTCATTTTTCTGAATTTCCCTTGAAACTGATTTTAATGTAGAAGATTACAAATTTTTTTCATTATCAGAGATTAATACATTGATATTAGTAATAATATTGCATGCTAGATCTTCTTCAGCGCTGAGGGTCTTCAAAGCTCTCCAGGTGTCTGAGGCTCATCAAGTACTGAGAAACCTTCACCTCCAGCATAGTGATTAGAAGCATAACCCAAAGAAACTTTATTATTCCATGACAGCCTTTACTGGTGTACAGATTTCAGGTTCTGAAGGCAAGAAATCCCTGTCACTGGTGGTATAACCCCACTGATTTGATCACTGACTCAATAGAGTCCTTATAGCTGGAGGACTTGGCCATTTTAACAACCAAGAAAGATATAACAAAGGATTATAATGGAAGAAATAAATCTTACTATATTTGAAGATGGAAGAGAAACGGATATACAGAAATGGAAGATTGTTCCAAAGAATTAATGCAACTATGAATTTTGTTATGAGAAAAAAATAGGACCTCTACAGAGAAGAATTCTGCACCAACACAAGAGTGCTGTATGAACAAGGCATCACCTCTGCCCAAAGCGTTATAGAAACAACTGGGCAGATGCTGAGAGAAAGCATGGTAATCCTAATTTTCTTCACTAAACTTGATTTCCTTTTTTTTTTTCTTTAAACTTACCTTTCCTACCTCAATGGAAATGGTACTAGACAGGAAATAGGAGCAACAGGGAGAAACCTGAGTTAGATGAAACATATTTTCATTGCAACCAAGATAAAAAGCTTCAAATTGCCCAAATATCATGGAGATAAATAATAGGAAAATAAAACAAGTACTTAGTTACACTAGATTTAGCAAAACTAGAGGGAAATTAAAGCTAAAGGTGTTGCACAGGCAGAACAAGAGAAAACAAGGAAGCAAGATGATACAGTGTAGTACATGTCAGGAATTTACTGGCAAGCAGAGAACCATTTGGTCAAAATGGCAGTGGAAGTAAAATTATCCTACTACAGTCAGAGAAAAAAAGCAAGGGCAAAGCATGGTTGAAAAGCTTCTTGCTAATATCCCACAGGTGGTTCCTCCCCAAGAAGGGGAGGGGAAATCCTCAAATTCAAACCCCGCTGAGCCTCTTATTCCAAACACAGTCAATCCTGTACACAAATAAAACATAAAAATCCAAGATCTTCCAGTTTAAACGAGGGTCAAGCATCTCTTCAAGTC